TGGACAGGATTTTTGTTTGCTAATGTTTATGTGTGATCTGCACTATGTAACAATCCAGGACGGAAAGCCCTCGCCACTGGAGGGGGATGGACTCCCTAATGATTTGTTTCTAATAACACGGTACTTTGGAAAACTGCCCTCTGTCTCTGCAGGCAGCCTGTAGGGAGCAGTAGTGATTGTCAGTAAAAGGTAAAGGGTGGAATTGAAAAGTGGAAAAGAGCAGTTTGATGTTAAGTATATTCGATATCCCTATATCTAGGATTTTCTGTACCATATTCTCCAACAGCAAAACTAGAAAAAAGTCTTATTCCTGAGTGGCACCTAATAAGTCTCACTTCCTTACAGCTTCCAGCCTTGGGCTCCAACAAAGGTTGAGAACCCTGTGGAACAGTTTCCGTATTATAAGGCAGAGGGATGGGATTGCATCACACTGTAGGTAACGAAACAGCAGCAGCTGAATGGCTCTGGGGCATCTTAGAATCTTTTACTCACTGATGCTACTTCAAGAGGGGTCTGTGTGGAAACAGGGATAGACATAAGGGTTTTGACCTTTTATAGTGAGAATAAAGCCCACTTACATGGAAAGTCATAGTCATTCGGTGTGTGTACGCTGTGACCATATTCTTTATTCTGAAGATAAGTAAATCAGGGGAAAGCTGGCTAAGAGTTGTTGACACGGTGTTTGCCAGCACAGCGTAGAGGATTGTCAGCAAGACCTGAGCTCAAGTCTCATCTCTCTCTCTCTATATATATACTTAGCTGTATGACCATGGACAAATCCTTTAATCTCTAAGGCTTAGTTTCCTCATCTGTAAAATGAGGGGATTAGTCTACTCCAGGTGGTCTTTAAGGTTATTTCCAGCTTGGAATCTATGATCCTCTCTGAAACCATTTTTTACCTAAAATCTGAAAAAAAGAAGACTTGGAATCTTTAGTGAACTGCAATGTTCTGTGAGTCAATAGTACGATAGCAGCAAAGGAAGCCAATGAGATTTTGAGCTGTCTTAACAGAAAGATAATATTGGACATAGGGAAACCCCAATCTTTTTGATCCTGGTCGGACCACATATGGAATAGTGTGTTTGGTTCTAGATGCTTTATTTTAAGAAGGACATTGACAAGTTAGTTTACAACATCCAGTGGAGGAGATTGTAAACTATCCTATATGAAGACTAGCTAAAAGTCCTGGAATGTTTAGCCTGAAGAAGCTATGACTTTGGGAATGGGGGGTGGAGGGAGGTCATTGCTGTACACATATCTGAAGGGCTGGCACAATAAAGCAGCATTAGATTTATTCTACTTGGCCCCAGAGGGCAGAAATAGGAGCAATGGATGGAATTGTAGAGAGGAATATTCAGACTTCATATAAGGCTAAACTTCCAAACAAACTGAGCAACCCCAAAGTAGATTATAGCTCCTTGGGGGTAGGGACTGCCTTTTACCTTTCTTTGTATCACCAGTGCTTAGCGCAGTGCCTAGCACATGGTAGGCACTTAAATGCTCATTGACTGATTCACTGGAATGGACTGTCTCAGGAGACTAAAAGCTCCCTATGACTGGAGGTCTTTGAGCAGAGGTTAGATGACCACTAGTCCAGGATGTTAAAGAGAGGATTCTTTTTCATGTATGTGTTAGACTGTACGACAATAGTAACCACAAACATTTACAAGTTGCCCACTGGTACACAGCACTGTGCTTGGTGTTCAGGGATAAAAAGGCAAAACTGAAAGAGCCTCTGCCCTCAAGGAGCTTACATTCTACCGGGAGGAATATGTCATGTAAACATATATGTATAATTCAAGGCAGGTATTTGTGGGAGCTGGGGAAGTGAACGAATACTCCAAGAATATTTGAGGAAGGGAGATACTCATGGTGGGGAGGGTTTGGTAGATCTAGGTGGGCTAGATAAAAGAAGCATCATTTAAGATTAGCCTTAAAGGAAGATGAGTATTCTAAAGGATAGAGATGAGGAGAAATCACAGAGTAGGCACAGGGAAGGAGTGGCCTCGCCTGTGTGGGCAACAGGAGATGGTATGTTGATTTCTGGGAAGAGCTAGTGGTCCAGTTTGATGGAAATGTAGAGCATATATTGAGGGTGGTGTGGGATGGGAGGGGAGGAATAATATGAAACAAAACAGGATGTGGCAAGCTTTAAATGCCAAACTGAAGCAGGGAGATGACTGCTGGTTGTTTTTGCATTTGTATGCCTGGTACCTAGTGCAGTCCTTTACATATAGTAGATCCTTAGTTGTTGAATTGATTTGAATCATACAGGAACCAAAAGACTTCTGAACAGTATTGAGAACCCAGCTGAAGCTGAGCATGGGTCTACTGTGCAGTTAACATGGAGTTGCAGGAAGGACATGAGGAATAGAAATGGAAAAAATAGTTATCCTGAGTTGGCAACTGGCAAGATAGAGTTGGCTTGGGGCCGAACAGGGCAATTCTAGTTACTTTTCTAGATGTTAATTCTTGAAGCACTTGAAGGCAGCTATCATGATCCTCTTAGAAACTGAACTTTAGTCTGACCACTTGTCCAGATCATCATGGTTACTCTGAATTCTTTTTCTTTCTTGTGCTAGCTCACCTTCTCCTTCACCCTTCCTTTTGGACTCATCTACCAATTTAATAAGGCTGTTCTCTCTTCTGTTACGATCCATATATGATAATGAAACGATGCTGGACCCAGTTTGGCTATGTTGTTTGGTAGGGACAGGGAGGCTGATCCTTTGATGTATGACTCTCAAGAATTGACCCTGGAATTGGCCAGCACTTTCCTAAGGGGTAAACGAGGTAGAGAATTTCAAGGGTGTGATACTAAAACCCTATGTTTCTGTTATTGTAGCTATTGGCCAAATCTTTTAAAAATGGGTTTTGGGCTTTCAAGTCTCACCCAATTTTAATTGGATTTATTTCATTCATCTATTCTCTCTTCTCAATGCCATTTCTAATGGAGAAAGGTCCCCTGCCTTTGCTTCCTGACACAGCCTTCCATGATATATGTCCATTGTGCAACTATATTGTCCTTATTACCCTTCCTTCTTCACCCTTAGCCCCACCCTTAGCCCCTACTTTTTCTCTCCAATGTAGGCATGTGTGAGAACTGGCTGTACTCATAGATTTTGAGCTAAAAGCAATCTTAAAGATTGGTAGTGGTAAAGGGGTACAACCCCTTCACTTTATAGATGAGAAAACCGAGGCCTTGAGTAGTTAAGTGACTTGCCCAAGGTCACACAGGTAATAATGGTAGAGTTGGGACTTGAACTCAGGTCTTCTGATTTCTAGTTTAATTTTTTTTTGTTATACCATACTATTATAGTTAGGGATAACAAAATCTACTAATGGCTCTGGGGCCCCCACAAGATGCAAGACTAACATATGTGGGAGTATTAGCCCACCTATGTTAGCCCTTTACCACTACCAATATAAACTGTATCCATGAGATGAGTACCTAGAAAGAAATATCACCATGTTGCTTTTCCTGGTTAGGGATTCTTCTATCTTACACCAAATACCCCCAGCATAAAATCCTGGGAATTAAATGCATTCTGGATAGTATTATGGTGGAGACATAACAACCGTAACTTTCAAAAGCCTGAAAAAGAAAAGAAGTTTCATGATTACTCTCCTTTGTAGATTGCTTATCTCAAAGGGATGGAGCAATAGTCATCGTGAAAGTCACCACAAAAGCCAGGAGATGGCTGGCAGATCCATGGAGCCAAAGACGCTAATTTCAAAGAGTTTCTGACTGTAGGGCGCTTCATTTGATATATCTCAATGGCTAGCAGCATAGCATCACTAACATAGTCAATTGCTTAGTATATGCTTTGTCTCTCCCTAGTCCTAGTAAGTGATGAAATTCCACATGGATGCACATGCAAACTTAATTCCCCAAGAAGCATACGACTAGTTGGAGCAGGATCCAGATGTTTTTTCTCTTCTGGGCTGCTGGTAAGGAGAGATGGTGGGGCCATCTTTGGGGAGAGCCTGCTGCATGCTGGAGTCAGGAGTAGGGCTGGGAGGTCCATGATGAAAGCTTGGCTTCCTGAAGGCTAATAATAGCAAGAGATTGAGCTTGGTGAGTGACAGTTTTCATTTTAGAGATGATCACCATGTCCCTGGAAGGGGAATGCAGTAAACAGCTTTGAGGATGAATTCAGGAAGTACATTTGATGTGCTTATTTACATGTGGCTCTTGGCAAGAGCCACCTCTCTAGAGAAGGAAAAACCAAGCTGCTTATTAGTAACTGGATTTTCCTCTATTTCTCTCTTCTTCTTGAGAACTCCATTTCAGATGAGAATTCTTTTTTTTTTAAATGGCACAATTATAGAATCATAGAATGCCAGAGATAGAAGGGACCATTGAACACAGAGTGTCCACTGGAAGGGACCTTGGAGTCTCACATTTCTTTGTCCTTCATATTAATGAACATAGTCAAGGCATCAGGAGGCATGGAAAAAATTGGGCTAGTGATTATAGTGGGGTTGGGGCCCAAAATGCCAACAACTCCCACAGACTCCAAGATGCCTGCATTAGTCCCAGTTATCTTTGTTCTTAGGTGTTGAATTCCATGTTCCTAGTTCCCCAAGGTACTGACCCCTCACCTCATTGAGAGGTTATCTGTACACTGTATTGTGCCATCCATATGCTGACTTCTATATTACACTCCTTCAGAGTGTAACTAATGATCCTTGAGCATCACTGGTTTTGGTTTCTGGCACCTACTGCTCTTTGTATTCTGTTTATCCATGTGTGACTGCTAAGTCTTATTTTGACCATACCTTTAGTAGGTTGGTAATGACCTTCAATTGAGGGCCCTGAAATATTCCCTCCCAATTACAGAGGAGAAAACTGAGGCCCGCAGTGGTCTAACAACTTGTTCAAAGTCCCTTAATTTATTAAATATTTTTGGTCAGGTGGGACCCCTAAATCATAAAGTCATGAAATGTTAGAGCTAGAGGGACCTTAGAAGATAGAATATGGAATGTCAGATGTGGAATGTACCTTAGAATCTAGAATATTCTGGACATGGAACAGAAGGTCAGTGTTGGAAAAGATCAGATAGGCCATTTAATCCCAACTCTGTTTCGTTATAGAGGGGTGGAAGCTGAAGTCCAGAGAAGTGAAAAGATTTATCCAAGACAACACAGTTTATCAGGTGTTTTTGAATAGGTTGGGCCACTGGATCACAAAATCATGAGAGCTGTTGATAACTTAGAAAATACAACGTGAGACCCAGATACGATCTTATAGACCGACTAATTCAACTCCCTTTCATTTCACAAAGGAGGCAACTGAGGCCCGGAGAGAAGTGATCTGCCTGAGATTACTCAGTTTGCAGTAAAATCTGGCTTCTTGACTCCTGGTTCTTGACAGAGGTTAGATTGTGCTAATGGATCAATCCTGCTGAAGTTGATTGGAGGCCGTGACCCAGAAAAGGTATCATAGAAGAAGCCAATGATGTCAAGGCTAGCTGAATTTGTTGAACTGATGGGCTATTAGTAACTGGTGTAGACATTCATGTTCTCCATTACGATCACCATTTCTGGCATCTAAAATGTTCCTTTACACGCTGACCCCTTTGAGTAAAAAGTAGCATTGAGTCAGTTGTTGTCGGAAGGAGGGACAATTTCATGTGATGTTTGAGACTGAACATAGGGGAGTGATTTATCATCTCTCTCTGCCACCTGTGTTTTCTTCAGTGTTTATTCATTAGCTCCTATATAAAATCTTACATCTGCAAGGGATGTTAGAGGATGTTTCACCTAACCATCTTATTGAATGGAGCAGGGAACTGAGGCTCACAGGATTAAATGATGTTCCTAAGGCCACGTAACCTATTAGGGGCAGAAAATGGACTAGAACCAGGTTCCCAGATCCAGTGATCTTTCAGTTCCTCACACCATTACTTTCCACAGGCCCCATCCTTGGGAAATGTCTGATGCCTTCCAGCTCATGAATGTCATGCCTGTCTGAAAAGAAATAATAATTTAAAAAAAAAGACAGTGACATGGGTACACCTTGAGGAATGTGCTCATGAAGGCCTGGGGTGAAGGTGGAAGGCAGCAATTTTTGGCTAGCTGCCTCATTTGGTCCAGGTTTAGGAGAGAGTGTTGGAGTAGCAGCTGAAGCTTTCAGACATGGTCTTGGAATTACTTCGTGAGGAACCATTGGAAGTGAGGTCTAGGGATAGGCGTTTGGCCTTAGAGCCATCTTCCAGCTCATCCTCATTGACCCCAACAACTGAAGAGACAGTGGTCTCAATTCTGTTGACCTTATACATGCTGCCTTGGGTTTGCAGATAACGAGTTGACTTCATTTCAAGACCCTCATATTCTGTAGCATTGATGAACGGACAGCATCGGAAGGCATGCTTAAAGCCAATGCGAAATCTGCCAAGGCAATAAATCCAATTCAATTAAACAAATATTTTTGAAGCATCCTTTATAACAAAGACATTAGACTAACCTCCACACAAAAATAAAAAGAAGAAAATTTTCCAAGCGCTCAAAGAGTTTACATTCCATTGGGGGCTACAGCCTCATACACAAAATCATACAAAGCAAATACAATAGTAACATAGAGTAATTTTAAGAGGGAGATAATGCTAATAATTGGATGGGGGGAGGTCAGGAAAGGCTCATGTAGGAGATGCCCCCTGAGGTATTCTTTGGAGGAAGATAGGGGTCATTTCAGTAGGAGGGGAGGAAGAAATTTATTTCAGATGGGGGCAACCACTTATACAAAGGTATGGATGTAGGAGGTGTAGCATCGTGTATGGAGCTAGTAGGTCAGTTTAACCAGACCAAATGGTGCTAGAAGGGAAATAATATGAAATAGAAATTTTAAAGAAAAGTGGAAGCCAGATTATGGAGATCTTTTAATGCCTGGTTAAAGAATTTATATTTTATACTAGAGATAATAGGAATTGATTGAAAAATATTGAGTGGAGGTGGTGATGTGGTCAGATAATAAGTAGATAGAGTGGCTACCTTAAGGCTGCCATTTTGATTCTATGATCTCATGACCCTTTGTTTAGATTACCTAGAAGGTCTCTTCCCAGGCCTAAATTTATTACCATGTGATCCCAAGTTTACCTTCCTCTGAGTTCTAATAACATATATATACCTACTAATTATTTGACACTTCATCATATATCCATACTTCCTATATTTATAGTTATCTAGGAGGAGGAGCATTCTAAATTAGAGTAAAAGGAATTAGATTTGAAACTTGGCTCTGTCACTCACAATATGAGTGATTTTGGGTAAGTTATTGATATATGCACCTCAGATTATAGTCAGAGGATTTCAAGTTGGCAAGCAGATTGGAGATCATCCGATCTAGCCCTTTTATAGGTAAGGACACTGAGGCCCAGGATGGGGAAATAATTCACAAAAGGTCACCCAGGTAGTAAGTAGCAAATCTGGGATTTGAACCCTCATCCCCTGGCTCCAAATCCATTTACTACCAAATGATTACACTCCTCATTTTAAGTTCATTGTAAGTAGAGACCGGTCCATTCTTTGTACTTCTATCCTCAGCATGGTGCCTAGCACACTGGAGACACTTAGATAATACATGTTGTGTCTCTGACAGCTAGAAGCCATTTGGTGTTAGGTAACGTGTCTCATTCTCTCCTGTTTCCTCTACAATGCCTACACAAAGTAGATACTCAATATTTATTGGTTTACCAGCTGATCCTCAGCATAAAAAGAGCAGTTCTGAAAACCAAGTTGATTAGGGCATGTTATTGTTTAGTCATTCTTCAGTTGTGCCTCACTCTTCATGACCCCATTTGGGGTTTTCTTGGCAAAGATACTGGAGTGGTTTGCCATTTCCTTCTCCAGCTCATTTTGCAGGTGAGAAAACTGAGACAAAAAGGGTTAAGTGACTTGCACAGGGTCCTGTAGCTAGTTAATGTCTGAGGCCAGATTTGAACTCAGAAAGACTCATCTTCCTGACACCAGGCTCAGAGCTCTATTCATTGCAACATCCAGCATGGTATTTAAATTCGAGGCCCCAGAGCAGAACTTCTAAATGGGCTTCATCATCACCAGAATTGTGTACTCAGGCATTTTTTCCCATGCCTGGAATGCTGTCTCTCTCCTGTGCTCTACCCACTGACTTCTCTGGCTTCTTTAAATCTCAACTAAAACCTCATCTTTTACTGGAAGCTTTTCCCAACCCCTTTTAATTCTAGTGCCTTCCCTCTGCCAATTATTTCCTATTTATCATGTGTATATTTTGCTTTGTATGTATTTGCATGTTGTTTCTCCCATTATGTTGTGAGATCCTTGAGGACAGGGACTAGCTTTTGCCTCTTTTTGTACCTCTAGTGCTTAGCACAGGGACTGGCACGTATAGGTGCTAAATAAATGGGTTTTTTTTTTTGATATGTTGATTGATTGATGGGCCCATTTACTTTTCTGGGCCCAGAAGAACTATAGAGGTTTTTTGGAGTTCAGGGTAATAGGGGTGTTGGTGGCAGAAAAAATGGTGATAGAGGTTAAGGACTGAAGCAAGAATGGGGAGATGGTACATAGGGCTATATGCCCTTGAAGGAGCTCTTTCCTCATGACTAAAAGGGAGTATAGTATAATGTAATAGCTCCTAATTCAAATAACAACAGAAAATAGCTGCTTTGGTGTAGGGTAGGGACATATGCTATAAGAAAGTAGTTATGCCTGAGATGAGTTGAAAATATGCATGTCTAAAATGCCTTAAAAAATAATGTTAGATGGAAGGCTGGCCTTGGAGTCAGAGGGCCCTGGCCTCAAGACCTGGCTCTGACACACGCTGGCTGTATGACTCTGGGCTAGTAACTCGGGGCCCCATGCACTGTCCCAAGTGGCCAGTCACAGAAGAGTCTCTGGGGGCAGCTAGGTGGTGCAGTGGATAAAGCACCACTCTTGGAGTCAGGAAGAGGACCTGAGTTCAAATCTGGCCTCAGACACTTGACACTTACTAGCTATGTGAACTTGGGCAAGTCACTTAACCTCATTGCCTATTAAAAAAAAAAAGCAACAACAAAACAAAACAAAAAGCAAAAGAGTCTCTGCCCTATACCCACAGAGGGATTTCCTATTTCAGAAATGGCCTGCATTGTTGGAATCACAAATTTGGACTATGAAAGAAGAAGTTTCTATTTTCATTGCATTGCATTCCTTTCTTTATGACTTGTGAGGTGGGTAGTACAGGGTACATTGTTATTGTTCTATTTTTGCACTGTTCCAGTACTAGGCGTTTTTTTTTGATGTCTAACTTGGATCTACCTCCCTGTTGTTTCCACCTATTGTTCCTAGTTCTCTAGGGTCAAACAGAACAAGTCTGGTACCTCCTGCACGTTACTGCCCTTTCAAAAAAAGACTAATGCACAAATAGGGGCAGCTAGGTGGTGCAGTGAATAAAGGCTGGGCTTGAAGTCAGGAAGACTCAACTTTGTGAGTTCAAGTCTGGGCTAGGTCATTTACTAGTTGTGTAACCCTGGGCAAGCTACCTAATTCTGTTGGCCTCAGTTCCTCATCTGTAAAATGAGCTGGAGAAGGAAATGGCAAACCACTCCAGTATCTCTGCCAAGAAAACACCAAATGGGGTCACGGAGAGTCAGACACAACTGAAAAAAAATGACTTAACAATAACATGCAAATCTAAACATGGTATCTTCTCCTTAAGAGGCTTCAATAGCTATTGCCTTAAAGATACAAATACAAACTCCTTTGCTTGGCATTTAAAGCCCTTCACAACCTGGCTCTGACTGTTCCTTCCAAGTTGATTTCCTATCACTCCTCTGTATGCTAGCAATTCTAGCCAGAAGGGCATACTTGCATTTTCCCATCATGACATTCCATCTCCTCTCTCTGTCTTTTCTTGGTTGTCCCCTATACCTGGATTGCTTCTCTCCTTAACTCCACCTCTTAGAATCCCTGGCTCCCCTGAAGGCTAAGTTAAATCTTCTTTTATTATCATTATTATTATTATTATTTTTAGGCAATTGGGGTTAAGTGACTTGCCCAGGGTCACACAGCTAGTAAGTGTCAAGTGTTTGGTCCAAGGCCAGATTTGAACTCTGGTCCTCCTGAGTTCAGGGCCGGTGCTCTATCCACTGTGCTACCTAGCTAGCTGCCCCTTAAGTTCAGTCTTCTAAGAGGCCTTTTCTATTTCTCCCAGGTTTTAGTGCTCCCCACTAGGAAAAACGAATGTTTATTTGAGATAGATTTGCTATTTACTTATCTGTGCACATCTTGCTGTTTCCAGTAGACTGTAAGCCTCAGAGTACAGAGACTGACTGTTTTGCTTTTGTCTTCATGCTTAGCATATAGCTAACATTTAATAAAAGCTCCCTGAATGGAATTGAAATATTTGAAGAAAGCCCTCTAAATCCCCCTAAGTCTCCATCATGTCCCCCTAAGTCTTCTCTTCTCCAGGTTAAATAGCTCAGGTCTCTGTCTCCTCCATCCTCCTCCATACTGTTTTAGACACTCAAGATGCTATGTCCTTGGTTCCATCAATGAGAGTAAGTCCAGTGACACACGGCAGAAGAAGCAGCAATCAAGGCAGAAAAGCAATGAAAAGAAGAAAAGAGGAGGAAAAAGAAAGGGAATCTGAGAATATGAGAAGACAGAAGCAAGCAGGAGGGAGGGAGGAAGAGGGGAAAAGGTGAGTATGGTAGAGATCTGTGTGCATGGGGATGACACAGCACAAAGGGTTGAAGATTCCCCTTTAGAATCAAATTCTTTCTCGTTTTTTCAGTCCCCTTGACATTGGACCTGTGTGGAGTGGCATAGGAGCGGGGAGGAGTAACAGGGAAATTGGAGCCCTTTACCTGTCATTGAGGCAGCAGTAGATGATGGGGTTGTACATCGTGGAGCTCATGGCCAGCCACATGATGGCCAGGTAGACTTGTTGGATGAACTTCTCCATATAAAGGTCCGGATTGATGTAGGGCAGGAGAAAGAAGATGTGGAAGGGTAGCCAGCAGATGGCAAATGTGCAGACCACCACAATCATCATCTTGACTACCTACCAAGAAGACAATCATGCATGAAGTTATTGTGGGAAAACCTCCCTATCCCTACTGTTGCCTCCTTTCTTTTTCTCTAGCTTTCTTCCATTGATCCCATGTAGGCTCCTACATGGTATACTGATGGGATATAATATTTGTATAACTTTGCCATGTTTCTCACATGGACGCATTCTTTCCATGAGCTACTTGTAGCTTCATGTCTCAGCTGTTCTCTCTTCTTCCTCAACCCCCCTCTAACTCATTTCCTACACTGTTGCCAAAGTGATTTTCCTGAAGATCAGGTCTGATCATATTACTCAATAATCTTCAATAGCTCCCTATTACCTCCACAATCAAAAAGAAAGTCCTTTGTTAAGCACTTGCAGCTCTGTACAGTTGCCAAGGCCCTTGGCTACCTTCCTACATGCTCTTTCCCTCCACAAACTTTAAAACCAAGCTATACTGGCTGGATTGCCGTTCCTTCCATATGACATACCATCTCCCATCTTTGTGCCTTTGTAATGGCAGTTCCCTATACCTGGAATCCTATCCCTCCCAGCTTCTGACCTTTAGAATGCTTGGCTTCTTCTAAGACCCAGATCCAATTCCACTTCCTCTAGGAGTCCTTTCCCAGGCCTCCCAGCTACTAAGGCCATCTCTGTTTATTTTTGATCTAGTCTGTATTTAATTTGTATATATGGATTTCTGTATGTTGTCTTCTTCATTATAATGTAGCATTTGAGGGCAGGGATTGTTTTTTCATTCTTTCAATGCTCAGTGCTTGGCAAAATGCCTGGCTGATGGTAAGCACTTGATTGATACTTGTTGATTGATTGATTCTTGGCTGCCTGGGCTAGTCCCATAGAGGCTCTGTTTAGGATCGTAGGAACTTACCTTACGCTTGGCAGATACTTGCTCATGATAACGGTCAGAGGAGTCCCCAGGAATCTCACTCGCCCAGAGGGTGATCCCCACCACAGTGTATGCGTAACCAATCACCAACAGAGGGAGGAAGTAGATCAACACAGTCACACAGATGTGGTACCTGCAGAGAGGCAGATGGTAATTTGAGTGAAAAGGCAACTTGGGAAATTTGAGAGGGAAGGCTGAAGCCCACAGGCTGAGGATTGTTGGCTCCTTCCCTGAAATTTTATTATTATTTAATAGGCTTGGATCTTCAAGGTAAGCCCTAGGCAGGTTGATAACCTCCTTGGCACAGTAGTCATCATTCAGGTAGGTGATACCAGGTGAGAGATGAGACCCTGGGCTTGGTTGACTCAACCTCATCATTAGTTGTTGGTTTTTTTCCCTGCAATGGAAAATTGAACATAGATTAATCAGCCTACTAAGCTTTTTATTGTAAGACAACTCCTTATTGAAGGAAATTTCCAATACAACACTTGGACTGCCTCTGGGGAGCCCTTAGTCCTAACCAACACTAGGGCAAAACCTAAAGTTCTATGATGCTTCTCCATAGTATAGAGATGATTCTGTTTAAAATTAATTTTTAAAAGGATATGGAAACAAGTACAAGTTGCTAACTTCACTTTTGCTACTAACTCTACTTTTATTAATTTGGACTTCACTAAACTGGCTTTCCTTTTTCTCTTAGAAAATCCCCATCATTAGTGTTTCAGAGTATGATGAAGCCTTTAGACTCAGCCTATCCACAGCTTCTTGCCAAGCCAAACCTAGTTTGGACATCCAAAGCCCTTGCTGGGTTTTGTCTTGGTGTTGTCAAATTTGCTTATGTCATGACTTCTCCACCCTGGTGCTCTGGTTTCTCTCCTTAAAGAAAGATATTTAGCTGAGCTTTCTTAATTGTATTTTGAATACTTCTATCCCTATCCCCAAACACTGAGATTTTAAAACTTACTTTTCCTTTTTTAGATCATAGAGGGGAAAAATCATATTATGTATTTGTGTCTCTGATTTATACAAACTCTATATTCCAGACCATGATAATTTCTTCTTATTCAGGAAAAAGTAACCTTAGCAACTACATTTCAATCTCAATTAACTGTAGTTCCTCTTTCCCCTACACATGCATGCATGTGCATGTGTGAGCACACGTTTTCCTTTTAAAAGACTCACTTATTTCTTAAGTTTTACAACTGTAAAACATTTTGAGGCTCACTCTGGATATGTAAGAACATGTTTATTATTATTATTACCATCATCAATAATATCTGACATTTATATATCACTTTGTAAAGTTAACAGAGCACTTTACATTCATTATCTCATTTGATCTATATAGCAATCTTCTGAGGTAGGTGCTGTTATTATCCCCATTTTGCAGATAAGGAAACTGAGGCTAAGAGAGCTTAAGTGACTTGTCCAGGGCCATACAGCTAGTAAATGCATTTTATGAGTTAGAATTTGAACACAGGTCTTTCCGAGTTGAAGTCCAGGACTCTAGGCACTATGCCAGCATTCTGCAAAGCAGACTGCCCAAACTGGATACTAATTTTACCAAAGTACAAATCAAATTCTACAAATCCTTCAAGTCTCATATTAAGTCTTACCTCTTCTGTGAATCCATCCCCTGAAGCTCCAGCCAGAACTAATCCCTTTTCTTACTGACTGTACCATATACATCTTTCCTTGATAATGGTATATCTAACACTTCCTTACAGGCTATCCCATTCTATTTTCCAATTGAAATGTACAACTTCACAAGTCCAGTCTTCCCAGGCTCCAGGGTGTTAAGCATGGGTGAGAGTTTCTATGAAGAAGACCTTGGGGTTTTAAGGGACTACATGTTAAACAGGAATCAACAGTATCATATAGTAGCCAAAAAAAATAATAGGATTCTTGCTGAGAGGAGGAGGAAGTAGCATTAAGAAAAATGCAGAGCCAGTTTTGTTGTTCAGTTGTTTCAGTTGTGTCTAACTCTTCGTGACTCCATTTGGGGTTTTCTTGGCAAAGATACTAGAGTGGTTTGCCATTTCCTTCTCCAGCTCATTTTACAGATGAGGAAACTGAGGCAAAGAGGGTTGCCCAATGTCACACGGATAGCAAGTGTCTGAGGTTACGTTTGAACTTAGGTCTTCCTGACTCAAGACTTAGTGTTCTATCCACTGCACCACCTAACTGCCTGCCTTAAACATATTAGGCACTTAATGAATGTTTGTTCAGTTGAATTGGAGAGTATTTACAATGTACTGAATGACAATCCATCTGTACCCTGCTCGGGTCAGACACATTTGGAATATTATGTTCAGCTCTGAGGGCCAATTGTTTTGAAAGCCTTTAACAAACTTGAGTTGTCTCGCTCGAGACAGTAACCAGCACAATGAGGGAACTTGAAGCTATGTGTTAGGAGGGTCAGTTTAAAGAGCTAGGGATGTTTAGCCTGGAGGCAAAAAGGCTTCTGTGTGTGTGTGTGTGTGTGTGTGTGT